TTAAACGAAAAAGAAGTGGGGGCAGCAAGGTGGCACGGTGGACAGAGCACTGGCCCTGGAAGCAAGTCACTTAACCTTAATTGCCTCCAAAAAAAAAGAATTAAATAAAATGAGACTTTTAAAAAAAAAAGAAGGGCATCTTCCACCTCAGAGTGGGAGGCGCTCTTTAAGGCCGTCTGCTCACTATCTCTGAATCTCCCCAAATCCTTCTCCGGCCATCGCTCCCCCTACCAGAATGTAAGCCCCTTGCAGGCGGGGACTGTCTCGCTTCTGTACACGTCTCTCCATTGGTTAGCACAGGGCTCGGCACACTCTTCATTTGCAAACAAATCACTTTCAAGAGAAACTCTCCAAGCACCACCCACCTCCAGTTAGAAGACACCTCAGAGGCATCCAGGCCAGCTCCCACCTTCACAAAGGAGGAAACTAGGCCTTGAGGACATTGACTTGTCCAAGGCCACACAGACCATAAACCACAGAAATGGGAAGGGAACCCAGGTTCTCTGACTCCAGACCAAAATGAAGGGAGGTCATCTGCTCCCTCATTTAACAGAAGAGGAAACTGAGGCCCAGGAAGGATAAGTAGTCAGCTCACAGGTCAGAAGTGGCAGGGTCTGGAGTCTAATGGCAGTGGGAAGTGGTGGGGCCAGGAAGTCTAGTGAACCTCCAATCTCCATCTCCGACCCTCCCCCAAACTCCAGACCCCAACAGATTTTTAGTGGAGGCACTGTCCACTCATCTGCTCCCTCAACCAGCTCTCAATGCCATCAGATGCGAACAGTCCTCCAAACGCCCCAGCACCCAGGCTGGACACAGACAAGGGGTCTTTGGCTCTTCTCTTTTGGATTCCTCCAAATCTCATTGATCCTTCCTTCGTGGTCTCTCTGCATCCATTCCTTCCTCTCCATTCCTAAAGCTGCCTCCCCAGTCCAGGCTATAAACTGGTCTCTCTGCCTCCAAATTCTTCCCATTCCTGCCCATCCTTCACGCTGCCAAATTAATCTTTCCAAAATACTGTTTTCATCATGTCACTCCTCAACTTAAGAAAATAAGACAGTCCCTTATTGCCTACTGGTTCCAATCCAGACTGAGCTTGGCGTCCAAGCAGTCCATCCACTGGCCCCACCTTAATTTCATGGGGTTTAGAGCCAGAAGGCATCGGAGAAGTCATCAAGGACCATCTTTTCATTTTACAGATAAGCGTGTGGCAGAGACAGGATTCGAACCAGGTTTCTAAACACAAATTCAGTCTCCTTTCCACTCTGGCTTGCTGCTTCACTGTTCCTCCTGAACCTAAACTCTGTGCTCTGGTCAGCGCAGTCTCTCAGCCGGCCTCTACATAGGCCACGCTTCCTTCCCTCTGCACTGTCCTCCCATCTGAGACACACTGTGCCCCACCCCCACCACCTCAATATAAATACCATCTATTCTCAAAGGCCCAGCTCATCTTCCACGAAGCCTTCCCTGACTAGCCCAGACCACCACAATCCTTCCTTTTGTAAATTCAACAGAACCTAGGCTCTAACACAATACAGCACATGTATAATGATATAATATAACATGATATAACATAACATAATATAATTAATATAACATCACACACATAGAATATTCAATTTGAGGAACTTACACTAAATGCCTACTATGTGCGAAAGCACTACGCTGCTACATGGGCTGAGCTTTTCAACAAGGCATCCGCCATACTTACGCTGAGATCTTTCAACATTCCCTCGGCCCAGCGATCGTGAGGATCACTATCTGATGAGCCCTGAGATAGGGAGATTCATGCTCCCCAACAGTGTTTATCAATGCCAAGGAGGACGATGCCCAGAGACATTTCCCTATAAATTCCACTCAAGGATGACATATGGTGGATGGCATTCTGCCAAATGAATGGAACCCAGGATCATGTCAGAAGCCTCCCCAGTGTGACCCACGGCCACTCACAAGGGATCAGAGAAAGAAGGACATGAAAAAGCATGTCTACTACCCAGCTGACGACGCATTCATTCTCCCCCCCCCCACTCAGGTCCTCTAGCATGACCTCAGTACCTATATTCTGGACCAGGACAGCAGATGGACAATGAGCTGGAGGAGGGGAGGGAGGCAGGCTGGACTGCATTGGAAAAACTGACCAGCAGATCCAGGGGCCCCAAGTTGACCCAAAGGCCCATCATCTTCATATGAATCCTCTTCCATGACGTCACATCACAGAAGCCACTCATACAACAATGAGCAGACATGCAGTAGGTGTCTGGCTGCAGCGCATGGACAACGAAGACGTGTACCCACAAAGTGTCAAAGAGCTCTCCAGGAGGAGGAAAGGAGGTGGGCGAGTCACAGAGAATCACACACACCCGGAGGCCTATGCCTGGAACACAGGCCACATCTTGGCCTTGCTACATCTCCCCCGCACACACTAGGCATGTGAAATAGTTAATAAGTGCTCGGACCCCAACTGACAGATGAATAGGGAAAGGCCTCTAGCCCAGTGGGTAGAACCTCTAAGAAAGATTCACATAAACACTCGGGCAAAGATCACACAGGTTAAAGTACGAGTGGGCTGCAATCTGCACCAGAGGAGAGGGTACCCTCAGCAGTGACATCACAGATCTAACAAAGTCCATAAGTGAATACAGACATATCTGTAAGACTTTGTTGAACTGAGCTGCCTAGCGTGGGATGAAGCACACAGCAGGGCTTCCGTCAATACTCAGTGCCTAATGACCAGGGTAGCAGACTCATGCTGGACTCTGGCACCCTCAATGTGTCAGGAAGCTCACTGGCTCAGACCTGACCGTCTCCCAAATCGGTATCTCTAGGCCGGCTTCTCAGCGGCGCCCTACAGTCCCCTGCAACACCACATTTCTTCAGGTCAGAGACCAAGTCTGCCTGTTTGCTAAACTCACTCACTTCAAAATTCCCCTCTATCTACCCCAAGCACCCTCCTCCTCCATGATGAGAGATCTTCGAATCATCTTCACTGATCCCCTCCTTTCCCACTAACATCCAATCTCCTACAAAGTCCTGGAGAACCTTAATACACAGAATGCAGTTGCCGTAGCGACCCCCTTCCTGGGCCCGAATCGAGGTCCCAAAGGCCTGATTTAAACTTTGTTTCAAACAGCCCAAACACCTTGCTCTTTATCCCCACTCAGAAATCAGGTTGTAGTGTTCCATTCACAGCATGCACTCAACAGTTCTCTGACTAGTGTGTAAATACTGAAATGACCTAGACTTTCTTTGTCATTTTGAAATCAACGTGGAAAATTATATCACGTCTTTTAAAGACGGACAAATCTGCTCTAATAAGTGGTGGCAAAGTGTCTTAGAACAGAAGTATAAAATATGATTGGAAAATGTTTAATAAAATACACAAAAACACAATTCAACACTGATAATGTTAATTTGTGGTTTTCTAAATCAATAGGCTGCCCAGGTCCCTTCTCTTTGAGTTGGACCCCACTCTCTTAAGAGTAGTTAAAAGGGATCACGGTTAAAAAAATGCACATAATAACAACAATAATAATAGCTAACATTTACACAGCTTCTTATGTGCTAGACACTGTAAAGCCCTTCATCACCATTATCTCTTTGATCTTCACAATGCTGGGAGGTAGGTGCTATTAGTATCCCCATTTTACAGATGAGAAAACAAAGGCAAACAGATTAAGTGGCTCGACCAGGGTCACACAGCCACTAGTCTCTGCATTCATATTTGAACTCAGATCTCCCTAACTCCAAGCCCTTTTAACTCCAATGCCTTCCCTCTGTTAATTACTTCCTATTTATCCTGTATATAGCTTGCTTGGTATGTATTTGTTTTCATGTTGTATGTCCATCCCCCTGCCCCCATTAGACTGCAAGCTCCTTGAGGGCAGGGGCTGTCTTTTGCCTCTTTGTATCCCCAGAGCTCAGCACAGTGTCCAGCACGTGGTAGGTGCTTAATATATGTTTAATAAATTGAACTTTAAAACGCTCTAGAAATGTGAGTTACTGTGGGAACAGCGCCTGGACGTGTCAGAGGAAGAGCAGAGGGGGGCTCATTGTGAGGGAAAGGTAACATGCATCCCGGCGCTATCCAAAGAGGGAATTCTTAAGGTCAGCCTGGACGGCCACCTGACCGGTGTACTTTAAGGGCTTTTCCCGGAGCATGGCACCATCCAATTCTGGGATTCTATGAAGTCACTGGACCTGCGGTTTTCTCATCTGCAAAATGCGGAGACTAACTCATGCTGCTCCCTGGCCTTGGCCTGGCTCCCAGGGCTGCTGTTGTTAAGGATTTAATGGGATAATGTATGTAAAGGGTTTTGAAAACCTTAAAACTTGAGCAGTCGTCATTAAACTCTGCAGATCACCAGCCCTCTCCACTTTGTATTCACTGTGTGGATTTTGTATTGGCTTATAGGTTGTTCATGTTGTCCCCTCTGATAGACTGGAAGCTCCCTGAGGACAGGGCTGTGTCCCTTTGGTTTTTGTGTTCCCAGGCACAGTTCCTGGCACAGACGGTGCTTAATAAATGCTTGGCTGCTTGACTGGCTGAAGGACTGGTAAAATGTCATCAATATCACTGGGTGGGGGGGGGAAGAGAGGGAGTACAGTCACGTGACTGACACGCCTCCTCCACTTCCAAACCTTGGGGGGGTGCACGTGGGAGGCGAGGAGGAAGGAATTCACCGGAGCGCCGAAGGGCGCAGAGCCGGCCAGCGGGGCGGACCCCGGGCACTCACGCCCAGCTCGGCCTTCCCTAGCCTGGGCAAAGACACAAAGAAGACGGCGAGGCCAGCAGCGTGACCAGCAGCGTGACCATGACGTCACCCGCCCCGCCCCCGGATGTGCCCGGCGCGGGGTCGCCGGAAGTGCCCTCCGAGAGCGCGGGAAGCCTTCCGTCCTCCTGCGCTCCGGGGAGCGGGGAGGGCAGGGCCCGGCCCACTCGACCATACCCCACCCCACCCGTACTGCGCGCGTCCTCCCTCCCGCCCTGACCCAGAGGTACCAACCTGTGGCCGCGCCCCCGACTGACAGGTCAAGGTCCGGCCTCCATGCGGGCTGCTGCGCATGCGCTCCAGCTGAAGCCCACAGACGCTCCGGGACCGCGGAGGGGCGGGTCTAGCGCGCGCATGCGCGCCAGCTGGCGAGGCATTACGGAGAGGGCGGGGCCCACGTGTGTCTCCCAGGGGCCGGAAGCTCCAGCCCGGAAGGGGCGCAGGCAGCTCCTCATTGGACGGCGGGACCGAGGCTGCCCGCGAGCGAGTGAAGACCGATTGGACCTCTATGCTTTTGGGAGGTGTAGTCTTGACCTCTTGTCTGGTCCCTGGGGTGTCACCACCATCCCACAGCCCGGCATGTCAGCAAATGGACATTGCTCCTGGGAAATCGTAGGAACGTGCCTTTTCCCACCTCCAGGCTTTTGCCCAGGCAGGGCCTCCTGCTTAGAATGGCCACCGGCCCCCTTCCACCTGGGGAACCCCTTCCTTCAAGGGTCAACCCGAGGCCCTTCCTGGTTCTCTCCCCTCCCCAAGAAAGTTTTTTTTTAATTAACCCCCTGAACCCCGTGATTATATTATTTTGGGGGTTAAAAAAAAGAACTTGCAGGGCAGCCAGGTGGCACAGTGGATAGAGCTCTGGCCTTGGGTCAGGAGGACCTGAGTTCAAATCTGGCCTCAGACACCTGAAGTAGTGTGTGACCCTGGGCAAGTCACTTAACTTAGATTGCTTTACCCCCCCCAAAAAAACCTTTTTATCTCCAGCACTTAGCACAGTGCCTGGCACATGGTAGATGTTTTTAAAATATTTCTTGATTTATTGTCAAAGATGGATGATAAGTATCAGTGCCATGGATGGTTATAATAAATCATTGTTTATATAATAGTATATCCTTTATATATTATAATTATAATGCAGGTTATAATTATTATAATATAGTAATGATAACTCACATTTATATGGAACTTTAAGGTTTACAAATTGCTTTATATACATTATTTGAGTTGAGCCTCAGGGCAACCACATAGGGTAAGTATTTAAGGTATTGTTACTGCCCATTTTCCAGATGTGGAAACTGAGGCTCAGAAAAGTGAAATGATTTGCTGAAGGTCACACAGCTAGTAAGCAAGAGGTAACATTTGAACCTGTCTTCCAAATTTCAAGCCCAGCCCTCTACTATAGCAGAGTTGAAAATACATGATATTGCTCTTGAACATTTAATATTTAACTCAGCAAGCATTTATGAAGTTCCTAATATGTGGGAGGCACCGTACGAAGCTCTGGAGATAAAAGGGTAAGATCTTCTAGAGGGTCCCCGATTCATTTGTAGGTTGGATCCCTCAGAAGTTGGCTACTCAGCCACTGATTAAAATTACTCTGTGGGACTCTGTTCCTAAGATGAGAGGTCACAGGTCCCTACCATTGAACTTACCATTAATAGTCAGCCAGTAGATACAGTAAGTTCGAAGCAAAGACATTTATTAAGATGATCTGGTAATAAAAAAAAAAAGTAGCTACAAAATATCACACACCCATCAACCTGAAGTTCCCTGTCCTGCAAAGAGTGGGCATGGACGCCAGTTACACTGGTGGGGAACGTGTGGCACCTCCAGCCCCGATGACCTTTCTCATCTCATGGAGTCCTCACACTGCTCCCTTTGGGTCCATCATCTGGGTCGCTCAATCCAAGTTCCTGGGTCTGCTCCATGAAGTGCTTCTCTCGAATCCATAGCCTGCTGGCAGGGGTCTTCATCCTTGAAACGTCTTCACGTGTGGAATGCTATTGCTTTCTATGTCTGTGTCTCCAAAGAGAAAGGATGTGTCTTTCCTCCCTGGATGTGTCTCGACTGTACCTTGACCTCTCTTGGACTGACAAACTCTCAATCTGTTCACCTGTGACCAGGGCTTGGCAGACTTAGCTTTTTTTTTTAATTGATTTATTTTGATTTATCAATAATCACTTCCATATGCTTTTGAGTTTAAAATTCCCCCCCCTGCCCCACCACCCTCCCCAAGACGGCACACAATCTGCTATACATTTACATTCACGTTCATATTAAACATATTAAACATATTTTCGCATTAGTGATGTAGTAAGTAGAAATTAAAACCAATAGGAGGAACCATCAGAAAGAGGAAACAAAACTCAACAGAAGAGAAAAAAATAACAATTCGGCTTCCATAGTTCTTTCTTTGGGTGTGGATAGCATTTTCCATCCCAAGGCCTCTGGAGATGTCTTAGATCCTTGTATTGCTGGGAAGGGTTAAGTTTATCAATATTAGTCATCACATAACATGGCTGTTACTGTGTAAACGTTCTCTCCTGGTTCTGCTCACTTCACTCAGCATCAGTCCATACAAGTCTTTCCAGGTTTTTCTGAAGTCAGCCTGTTCATCATTTCTTATAGCACAATAGTATTCCATCACATTCATATACCACAGCTTGCTCAGCCATTCCCCAGTTGATGGGCATCCTCTCAATTTCCAATTCTTTGCTGCCACAAAAAGAGCTGCTATGAATATTTCTGTACACGTGGGTCTTTCAGACTTAGCTTTCTAAAGGCCTTCAGGAGTGTGGCCAGCTTCTCGTCAGCCATCGGGCAGTTGGGCAGCAGCCGCCCTTCCAACGGAGCCGGAGAAGTTCACGTTTATTAAAGAGCGACAAGGTGTAGATATTGGACATTGTGAATGCATTAATATAAGGTCATCCCTGTCATCTGCCCCTCCCTTTCTTTGGTTACATCAGTAGGGAGAGGGGAACTGAAACCTTCCCCCCAGTGCATAAGACAAACGTGTAATACTTCCTGCCCTCAGGGAGCTTGCGCTCTAACGGAGGAGACGCGTACACATAAAAGTACGTGTAAACGTAACCGTTTGTTGTGAGAGTTATTTAAGAATTACAGAGTTAGAGCTGGAATGGCCGTCAGAGGCACTCTAGTCCAATTCCCCCATTTTATAGATAAGGAAACTGAGGCCTAGAGCAAGGGTGACCTCAAGGCCGTGTGCCCCTCTAGATCCTTAAATGTGGCCTTTGACTGAATCCAAACTTCACAGAACAAATCCCTTTAATGAAGGATTGTTTTGTAAAACTTGGACTCAGCCAAACCTAGAAGGCCACATGTGGCCTTGAGGCCGCAGGTTCCCCACCCTTGGCCTGCTGACTTTAAGTGAAGGCCACATAGCTGGTTAAGTGTCGAGGTTGGATCTGAACCCAGATGCTCTGTCTCCAGAGCTTTTCTTACTCTGCGCTCTACTGTAGTGGGAAGATTCACCTGTTGGATTACTCCAGGAAGGGAAGGGTTCGTCCTCTCTGTATGACAGGGATGTCCCAGAGCAAGAAAACAAAGGGGAACCTCGCTGTGTAACAACACAACGCCTAAGCCCGGTCCCCATGAGACAACCAAACTTCTTTCCACTGTCTAGCTGTCTAAAGGGAAACCCTGGATTCATGCATTCTAGAACCTGGCACATAGTGAGTGCTTAATAAATGATCTTTCATTCATTCAATAAGTCTCCCTCATATACGTCCTGAGCCCCCAGCCAGATGCCAGAAAAAAGAATTCAGAGACGTTCTGTGCTCTTTGACCCCTTCAGACATCTCCAACTGGATGTCCAGGAGATATCTTCAATTCAACACGTCTAAAGCTGAACTCATCATCTTTCAGCTCTGTACCTCCCTCTCTTATGCTCTATTCATAAAGAATGAAGCAAGCAAGCCAGAGTTGTTAGGTTTTATCAGATCTTTACATTGGTATTAGTATTCATTAAACAAATTATGAACAAATTTTAAGAGCAGGAAAATCTTGGATTTAACATAGGCTCTTTTATACACTGAGACAGACATTTCATCTTAAACCTAGTCTACCAAATGGCAAGTCAGGTAACCAATGGCCTTCTTTTCCTTTTCCTCAAACTGTCCCATGTGGCCACTGAAGCCGGGGGTGGTGGTAGTCCAAGGAGCTCTGGAATTGACCATGTACCAATTAAGCTGCTGCCTCAACACCTTCCTATCCCTAGCCCCCAAGGTCTCTCAATTCAGAATCATTCAGGGTCTCTCCTCACTTCTCACTATGATTCCTAGATCTCCTCCCTCCAGATCAAGGCGGAGAAAAACATTGAGATTCTTTAAGACTTATTCAGTTCCTACATCTCTCAAAGACGCCCATAGGTAGGCACAAAAGACTTTTTTCTATTGGAGGAAAACTGGCCTCCAGTCCCCTACTACACCAACTACTGCAAAATAAATGAGGCAGTTGGAGAAGGCACCAGCAGACCAATGCCAGCTGGGAATGCTCCACCACAGGTCAGTCCACGTGAGCACTGAGTGGAGACGTCCCCAGGTTTGGGCATCTCATGTTTCTTTTGAGCTATTGCAATTCTACCTCACTCACAGAGCACAGAGCCTTCTCTGACGAGGGCACGCCATGCTGGGCTGCCCTGTGCCACTGTCTCCTGTGTCTCACAATCCATTCTAAAGTTCTTCAGAGAGACCTTGGCAGTGTCCTTGTATCCCTTCTTCTGACCGCCATGAGAGGCCTGCCTTGTGTGAGTCCTCTAGAAAACAGTCTTTTTGGCAAGCCCACGTTTGGCATTTGAACAACCTTGCCAGCTCATCGGAGTTGCTCTCTCTGCAGGAGGGTTTGAATGCTCGGCAGTTTAGCTCATGAAAGGACCACAGTGCCTGGTATCTTATCCTGCCGGGTGATCTTCAGAATCCCCCTAAGACAGTTCAAATGGAAATGATTCAGTTTTCTGGCATGGCGCCGGTAGACTGTCCAGGTTTCACAGGCACACAACAAAGAGGTCAGCACAGCGGCTCTGCAGACTTTCAGTTGGGTAGTCAGTCTAATACCTCTTCTCTCCCACACTTTCCTTTGGAGCCTCTTCCCCTACCTACAAGCCCCTCAGATGCTCGGAGGCAGAATCCTTGGCTTTTCTCAAGGTTCCCCTTCCTACAGGAAGCCTTTCCTGAGTCCCCTGATCGTTTGCGGGTTGTCCCCTCTCCAAATTACACTGACATATCTCCCCAGGCTCTGAGCTCATTCTCCCCACCCAGGCCCCAAGAGCTCATGCATTTAGGGGTAACCCTGAGGGGTTGGGGTGTCTTTTATATTGCTCATGGAAGAGGACCCTCCCACCGAGCCCGGTCCTTATGAACATGTGCGGAGAACCCCGATGCATTCCCCAACTCGGATGAAGCTGAGAATCCTGTTTCTGGGAGAATTGCAATCATGCGTAATAGAAATACCTTGGAGAGACTTCAGAGCGTGTGTAGACATTCTAATGTGCCCGGTCTGTTAACCACATGGCAAAGAGAAGCCTCATTGATTGGCTAGAAAACAGGACTTTCTCTTGGTGTGGCATCTTCCAGCTGATGGTGAGAGGGAGAGAGGGAGACGCCACCCCCATCCCCATCCAAGGCCATCGTGGCCCCAGGAACCCTACAGGCTACAACCTTGTGAGCTTCAGTCGGTCAGAGGATTAAGCCAGGAGGAAGTCCACGCAGCCCCCACTACGGACCCCAGTTACTCTTGGACTTCCTCCTGGCTTAGTCTTCTGACCTTTAAAAACTCATAATCGCTTTCTCTCTGTTTTACCACCCTGCCTCTCTCTAAGTGACAAAAATCTTTCTGTGAATTACAACTCTCCCAGACAATGCATCCACCTGAGACAACAAACAGGAGCTTATGTTAGGCCAGAGCTCCGCACACAGTAAGGTACTTAATAAATGTGGTTTCATTCATTCTCGGAATCTCGAACAATGCCCTGCCCCTAATAGGAGCTCAACCAGTGTTTGTTGGGGAGGATAACACATCGTAACATTAAATTCCACAGGAAAAGACACAACCCAGCAATCCCCAGAGTGGGGGGTGGGGTGGGGAGCGAGCAGGAGTCTGGACAAAGACCATCGGGACAGCACTGTCAGAGGAGGCTGTCCATGGCACAGCGAGAGGCTGCAGGGGGTCCACGTTGTGTCTCATTTTATTGATATTTTTCTTCTCAATTAAAGTTGCTTCTCAAAGACTCCCCTGCCTCCATCCTATCCCTCCAATCAATCTCTTTCTTGTAACCAAGGATTTCGGTTAAGAAAAAGTCAAGATACTGGCCTGGTCTGCCGATGTATTTCTCATTCTCCATCTGTCGTCCACCACTTCTTTTCCAAGAGGTGAGGGACATCTTTCGCCGTCGGTCCTGTGAAGTCGTGATGATCCCTGCATTGATCAATGTTCATTTTCAAAATCCTTTTTTAACCCTCTCCTAATAAAGTCCTTGACAGCTTGCGGCCTGCTGATGTGCGTCTCCAGACTCAGCAGAAACCCTGTGGTGGGGATAGCCCACATATGCACCCACACAGTGCTGCCTAATCTCCCTTCCTCTCCCCAGTATCCAGCTTGTTCCAGGGTGTCCCAATGTGACTGCACCCACCCGGCACGTGGAGCAGCCCACCTTTGATACTACCTGTATGACCTGGAGCAGGTCTCTTCATCTCCCTCAGCCTCAGTTTCCTCCTCTGTAAATGAGGGGGCTGGACCGGCTAGTCTCTGGACTCCCTTCCAAAAGCTGCACTCCTCAGGGCGCATTCTTCCAGCTCTCCAGGCCTTGGGTGGGCTTTCGAGGGGTCCTAGAGGAACCCCTGTGGCCTTTACCATTTGTGGGGCTGCGTCCCTCAGTCCCTGGAGGTGGTTGGCTGTCCCACCCCTCCCCCAGCTCTGGAGACAAGAGGCCCCAGGAGCTCCCAGGCAGGCTGGCCCGCCCTCCAACACCGATTCTCACCTGGCAGTCACGTTTGTAGGTTTTCTAGGTGTGCGCTTGGGAAACAAGCCGCCTCTTTTGTGTCTCTTGCCCCTCTAAGCTTCGTAAGTTCACAGCAGAATCTTAACTGCTGTCAACTCACAGTTGGAAAACAATGAGATTATTTTAGCCCTCGGTGAGTAAACACAGGGCTGTGTAAGACTGTTTGCTCTTCCCGCTCCTGGCTCACAGCTGCCTGGCCCTGCCCTGCCTTTTGTGTGGGGGCCTCCGATCCCCCTAATCCCAGAGCCCTCCATCACGGTGGGCAGCCTGGCAGCTCCCACCTTTAGGTTCACATCCCTTTGTCAGCTCCAAACCAAGACAGGGCTTAGTAATGACATTCGTGTCCCAGGTTGCTGAGAGCATACAAGGGGTCCCCTCTCCTAAAGCCTCCCCAGAAACCTGCAGCCAGTGGCCATAAGTGGAAGTCCTGGGTGGGGGTTGGGGCTTCCAAACAACCTTTATTCGAGGCTCCCTCCCTGGGGCCTCAGCTTCCCAGCCCCAGAGTGCTAGGCCCCTCACCTCGTCCCCCTTCCCCTCCTCTGCCACTCTCAGTGTCTCCCTCTCCTAGTAGCCCCTTGGGTAATAGCTTGGGAATCAGAGACTTAGAGCTGAAAGGCACACACACACACACACACACACACACACACACACACACACACACAC